ATTGGAAAGGAAAGCATTTTATGAATGCGCCTGAAGCCGCCTGAAGCCGGGCCAGGCCAGTCATATGCTGTATGGACATTCCAGTGGGGGACTGCTGCTCTGACTGAAACTCTAGACTTTGGACAGTCTGAAAAAGCATCGCAGCGGAGCAGAGCGGAACGGTTTGTTTTTCTTTTCGGTTCGGTTGTGTGTGGAAAAATGACGGTTGTTTACATTGGGTTCCTGAAAAATTTCGGTTCGTGACATTCGCTGACTTTCGGTTCCGAATCGATTCGGGACCCTTCCTGTATAATAGCTGTTAGTTAGTAGCTAGGTAGTAGGTGGTAGATAGTAGGTGCGGTAGTAGGTAGTAGGTAGTATACGCAGTAGGCAGTAGGCAGTATGTAGTAGTAGTAGTAGTAGTAGTAGTGGTAGTAGTAGCAGTATTATTAGCAGTAGTCGTAGTAGTATCATTAGTAGTAGTAGTAGTAGCAGTAGTAGTAGTAGTATGTAGTATGTAGTATGTAGTGGTAGTCGTAGTGGAAGTGGTAGTGGTGGTGGTAGTAGTAGTAGTAGTATGTAGTATGTAGTATGTAGTATGTAGTATGTAGTGGTAGTGGCAGTGGAAGTGGTAGTGGTAGTGGTAGTAGTCGTAGTAGTAGTAGTAGTAGTAATAGTAGTAGTGGTAGTAGTGGTAGTAGTGGTAGTAGTGGTAGTAGTAGTAGTAGTGGTAGTAGTAGTAGTAGTGGAAGTAGTAGTGGGTAAAAAAGGTTTGCCTTGCCCAGTACTAATAGTAGCGGTAGTAATAGCACTATCCTAGTGGTAGTTGTAGTGGTAGTCGTAGTAGGCAGTGCGTAGTCGCAGTAGGTATTAGCTAATACCACATATTAGGTAGTAGGATTGCGGATAATGGCACGGATTACGGATAAAAACGGATTGCGTTAAACGGATTGCGCGGGATCCGCGGCTTATGCATTACGGATTGTTTTTATAGGCCCGTCGGGCTTAAGAACGCTGCCTCGCGCCTCACCTCCTCCCGACCGCAGTGTTCCCCGCCTGACCGGACCCGCCAGCTCCCGACGGAAAGCTCCTGACGGTAGTGTTCCCCGCTGGACCTCAACCGCAACACGCAACCACAAAGGCGCAACCACAGCACACGACCACAACACACAACCACAAACGCATAACCATAAACACAACTACATAGACACAATCACAAACACAAAGACACACCCACAGCACACAAC